AAAATCATAAAACTATATTGCAATGCTCGGAGGATATTTCGATAAAACGCAAACTATAGCAAACACTTTTTTCACAGGTGCTGAAAATTTTACTCAGTTACATCTAGTGTAGTTCTACCCGTGAAGTGAAGTCCTGAACAATCAAATCCCTGCAAGTTAATAAGTGAAAATATATCCGGTTACTTACTGTGACTAACTGATAGATGAAATCGCCTTTATTTTATTTTTTGTCTTTTTCTGCCTCACCTTAGTTTACGCATGTCTTCATGAACACCTTCATGAAGAATGTGGCTCAGAAAACCTCACCTTTAAAACAAGAACAATCGTCCAACATGCGACATGCTCGTCTGACGGAATAACATCGAAGAGAATTTGATTACAACCTTCAGACACATTATCAAAACGTCAACCAACTTCACTTTACTTTCTTGGTGTTAACATTTTCTTCGATTTATTACCAATCGTTCTTAGAAGGTTCACATACTTTCTCCTCGAAGAGTAACCATGAGATAAACTGTTGCTTGAGCTGAATAAGCGTTCATTTAATTCTAATAGTCTCAAGAATCTTTGTCATTAGGCGCAAGATTACTTAAAAAATGAAAAACCTTCGATAATCTTTGGAATGAATATGAAAAATGCTTTCAGAGATATAATTAATCACTCATTTCCACTATCTAGAATGCCATCAATATTTGTATGTGGCATAGGGCTTCAGATAAATGCCTCCAGATTTCCATCCGAACTTATAACACAATAAAATTGATTTCATGCACATGCAATAATACGCAAAAAAGTTCACATAATTTTCGATTTTCTGCTTCGATTGTTGATATGTATCCATATATATATATATATATATATATATATATATATGGTGGTCTCTCTCGTTCTGTTGCTCTCTTAGTCTGTGACCATTTCACTTTGATGAACCTGTCTCCTTTAACAATGTATATTCCCCTTATATTATATATAATATGTGTGTTTGTTTGACATGTCTGTTATATTTGCTAGGTATATATGGATCGATATTCCATTATAATTAGCCAATCATGTTAAGACTGTCTATTGATTTGTTCATTTTGGATATTCGCTCACACACTTGTGTTCACACACTTGTTCGGACATTCATATATATTTTTGCTCTCACACTCTTGTGTGACATATTGATTCTCCTGGTGTTTTGGAAAATAGAAGTATCATCGCGAACCTAGTGGTCTTCTGATTTCCGTCTTTCTTGCGTCAGGACTATTAAATTCTCGACCAGTACATAGCAATAATTTGGCGACGAGTACATAACAATTGTAAAAGACTTCAAAGCGATTGTACAGCTGATGTTACACTACCTTTTCCGTTACACTTGATACTCAGACTCTTAGTCCATAAATACGATTTTAGTCAAAAACATCTTCAACTTGATTCTTAGACATTTGACACCGATAGAGTTTGAAGCTATCTCTAAGTCCTGTCTAATATGATTGCTGAACTTTCTGCATAGAATCATCATTACTTTATGAAATTCTTTCATTCTTCTACTCATTCATTATTACTTTAATTTTGATCTCTAATCGTCTTGGTGATCTGAGTACTGTTCTTCACTGTATTAAGATTTCCTGATTTTGGATAATTTCGTGTGTTTTCTAACCTATCTCTTATGTATTCATGAATGAACTGTATGATGGTCAACACCTTTGAGGAAAAATAGATATATACACGCGTTTCACTTGATACCTTTTAATAATATGTAAAACCACGTACGTATTCAGTGAAATTTCTCTCCAATGCTCAAGTCATGTCAAATAAAAAGTTAATAAACTTTAAACTTAGAGAGACAATAACCATAAGAAAACAAGCCAACTTAATTAGAATACACAATTCCCTATTTATACACATTACAAAAAATTAAATTTTCAGGACTTCTTCAAGACGAAGCTCATGATTAATTGACTTTGAAATTCGTTTCTTAGAAATAACTTTCACTAAACTTTCACTCACCAGTTGACCCTTAAAGAAGTGATATATTAGTAAAACATTTTCTAAACTTTTATACAACCAGGAGGGATAAAGTTCTTTGATTGTTTCAGACAGAACACGCATCAAGCACCTTGCTCTATATCACTACATGAAGTGGTTGTTACCCTCAGATGTAGTCAAATGCGACAGTTCACCCTGAGTGTTGCTGAAGAACAATGGACGGCATGAGATTATATCGAGAATTGCAAATAGACTAATATCAATAGTAATAGTTATAATAATAATAGTGTTGAAGTGAGTTAAGATAATCTTACTGATAACTTACTTACTTCATGGACAGGAGAGTACATGCATTTCAAGAGCTTTGTTCCAATCCAGTACAAAAAGAACTTAGTCAGAACACTGTTCAATAGAGCACGAAAAATTTGTTCTGACGGTACTATTGAACATGAAATAAAATATCTGAAGGATATTTTATCTAAGAATGGATATCCTGAGAAGTTCATTAATAAATACACTAAAGAAACTACCCCCTGCAAAACAATTCAAACAGTTCCAAAGAAACCTGTCTATATCAATTTGCCGTTCAAAGGAGATGACGTACAGGAAGTGGTGAAACAAAGACTCGACAAAGCCATCAAGAGAACTTATTATGCTGCAAAACTTGTTATCCTTAACACCACCAAGCGAGTGCTTCAACAATCTGGGGAAAGACCAGTCGCCAATCCTCGACACCTCGAACTGCGTATATCAATTTCAGTATGTTTGTGGAAGCAAACACATAGGTCGTACGGAAAGGCGATTGTCTACTCGCATGATGCAGCATTTGCCAAAATGGTTGAAAACGGCTGAGTGCAAAGTGCCAAAATCCTCAATAAGGAAACATCCTGTAGACTACGGACATGATATCGACGCAGTCAAGTCCTTCACTATTGTTGGCAGACGAGGAAACAAGAAGATGCTTGCAATTGCAGAGGCTTGTGCAATTCGAGTTTATAAACCAGGTGTCTGTGTACAAAAGGAGATGGTCCTGACTCTGAATCTACCATGGTAATACGTTTTACTTATTATTCTACCTCTTATTATTATTATTATTATTCTTGATTCATTTAAAACTGTGCTTTATCAGTAAGATTATCTTAACTCACTTCAACACTATTATTATTATTGTTATTAAAACTATTACTATTGATATTAGTCTGTTTGCAATTCTCGTTATATTCCCTAATGACTAATTGTTTATCTAAGTGATGCAATTGAAGCGTAATGCAATTTATCTTAATTTTGATCTCGCATACTCTCTCTCCCCTTTATCTATTTGAACATGACCTGGAAAACATTCTCACGTGTCTTTCTGCATGACTAATTCAATGTAGTTTGTTTACTTATCAGTCTTATATCTCCCATTGTAATTTCAAAAGTATATATACATATCCGTGTATGTAGAGTATTCAGCTGACGAGGAGTTCTACCGAAATTTGATGAATCCATCATTAAAACATCCTGCTTTATTAACCTTTATTGCTTGTTTTACATATATACATATTGCCTGCAAGTGTATATACCTTGAGAATAAATTTGTTGAAAAACGACACTCTTCAAGGAATCCCTTGTTTTGACTTGTCTATCTTTAACTTCTTTTTGAAATCACGGAAAATACCCACTGAGTCATGAAGAAAATAAAAGACAGATTCAGCCAAGAAAATTTTCTTTATCGACGAAATCATCTTCAGAGGCTGTACAGTCATATTTATACTTACTTACTTATATTTACGCTTATGCAGATCACTGAGGAAAGCCTTCTTTATGGCTGAGCTACGTATCAATTTCTACAGCCGATAAATGATCAACGGATGTGTGAAGGATAAACTGCCACTTTGAGCCACCTCAATGTGTGTTTATAAATTCACCTGCTTGTGTGAAGCTAGTTATGTTGGCCGCCCGCACAAAGCGACCGCACGCTTTCCAAAAGCATCTCTGAACATTATCCGGCATGGTTAGCAAAGGGACAATGCAAGACAATCACTAGCTCAATTCTTGAGCATTTGATGAACTCAGGCCACGTAGCTCCACCAGAGTCGTCTTTCAACATCATCTACAAAGTGAAGCCGAATTGTACAAAGAGCGTCAGATTTCGGCTTTTGTGTATGGCGGAGGCGCTGGCAATTCATCAAAACAACCCTGCACTCTGTATACAGAAAAGGTTTGTCCAGTCTCTTATTCTACATTGGTCTTAACCTCTTCACTAATCGTTCCCTGTAAAATATTTTTGATTTTTCCTTTTGTTCTTAATCTTTAATCTTACTTTTAGTTTGCTTTTGCTTTAATAATTAATTCACTATTATCAATTTCATATGCTCCTTTTGTATATTTTCACACCCTCTTCACACTTGTTAAATTGAAACTCAAATAGCAACTTTATTCTCACTCAAGAGCAATTTTAACCTTTTCTAACTTCTATCTTTGTTCCGTAGAGTACCGTGTAATTTACAACTTTTAATTTTCACCTCTAAAGCCACTTATGATTAATTACATCAATTATGTCACCCCCCCCCTATTACTCAATAATAGACCACTATACATTTTTCTAAGTATAAATACGACTGTACAGCCTCTGAAGATGATTTCGTCGATAAAGAAAACTTTCTTCGCTGAATCTGTCTATTATTTTCTTTTTGAAATTATGAGGTTTTTTTAACTGATAAGTAGTAAAATTATCGCAGACGAGTGACTCTTAGCACATGCATACAGTTGTATCAATATCATCGATAAAGTGTGTTAATATGCTCTGAAGGCTTGTCAAATGCATTCTAGGCAAAATTAATGTAATCTCTTACAGCTTTAGGATAATTTATGAAATTTTAATCCAGGAATGTCATTCGTACTTTTCATTTTATTCATTAATTATTATTAAAATAGTAATTATTATCATTGAATGGTTAAGCCTAAATAACAAATGTTTGAATTAGTTATTTCGGTATTCTAGGAGTATAGATTGAGAGAATTTCTCCCCTGAACTGTTAAACGTGTCAGGTAATTGTGTTAGCTGATGAATAATGTGAGTCCTTCCTGACATAATTAACTTTCAATACTATTATGAATATACAAAGTAATACAACACAAATACTGGTAGAAATAAGGGTGGCTATTGTACTTGATACTATCACAGATGATAACCATAAAGATTGTAGATATTCATTTTGATTATTTGAAAATATAACCGTTGTATTTTGTATTATATGAATGTGACTGCTGTTTAAATGATCATGAGATATTGGAAATTCACTTGGACTTTCATCTTTTTTGATGTTTACATTAGGCGACTGTGTAGATAACGGGAGATGGGACGGATAATTGTGTGGTTTACGTGTACGATTTAGATTTGCGCTTTCTTCTTTGACGCTAACATTAAGCGTTTGAGTAGATATCGGGAGATGAGATGGATAACTGCGTGGTTTATGTGTACGATTCGGATTTGCGCTTTCTTCTTTGACGTTTACGTTAAACTTTTGTGAAGGTATCGGGAGATGAGATGGATAATTGTGTGGTTTATGTGTACGATTCGGATTTGCGCTTTCTTCTTTGACGTTTACGTTAAACTTTTGTGAAGGTATCGGGAAATGAGATGAATAACTGCGTGGTTTATGTGTACGATTCGGATTTGCGCTTTCGTCTTTGACGTTTACGTTAAACTTTTGTGAAGGTATCGGGAAATGAGATGAATAACTGCGTGGTTTATGTGTACGATTCGGATTTGCGCTTTCTTCTTTGACGTTAACATTAAGCGTTTGAGTAGATATCGGGAGATGAGATGGATAACTGCGTGGTTTATGTGTACGATTTAGATTTGCGCTTTCTTCTTTGACGTTTACGTTAAACTTTTGTGAAGGTATCGGGAAATGAGATGAATAACTGCGTGGTTTATGTGTACGATTTGGATTTGCGCTTTCTTCTTTGACGTTTACGTTAAACTTTTGTGAAGGTATCGGGAAATGAGATGAATAACTGCGTGGTTTATGTGTACGATTCGGATTTGCGCTTTCTTCTTTGACGTTTACGTTAAACTTTTGTGAAGGTATCGGGAAATGAGATGAATAACTGCGTGGTTTATGTGTACGATTTGGATTTGCGCTTTCTTCTTTGACGTTTACGTTAAACTTTTGTGAAGGTATCGGGAAATGAGATGAATAACTGCGTGGTTTATGTGTACGATTTGGATTTGCGCTTTCTTCTTTGACGCTAACATTAAGCGTTTGAGTAGATATCGGGAGATGAGATGGATAATTGTGTGGTTTATGTCTACGATTTAGATTTGCGCTTTCTTCTTTGACGTTTACGTTAAACTTTTGTGAAGGTATCGGGAAATGAGATGAATAACTGCGTGGTTTATGTGTACGATTTGGATTTGCGCTTTCTTCTTTGACGCTAACATTAGGCGTTTGAGTAGATATCGGGAGATGAGATGGATAACTGCGTGGTTTATGTGTACGATTTGGATTTGCGCTTTCTTCTTTGACGTTTACGTTAAACTTTTGTGAAGTTATCGGGAAATGAGATGAATAACTGCGTGGTTTATGTGTACGATTCGGATTTGCGCTTTCTTCTTTGGCGTTTACGTTAAACTTTTGTGAAGTTATCGGGAAATGAGATGAATAACTGCGTGGTTTATGTGTACGATTCGGATTTGCGCTTTCTTCTTTGACGTTAACATTAAGCGTTTGAGTAGATATCGGGAGATGAGATGAATAACTGCGTGGTTTATGTGTACGATTCGGATTTGCGCTTTCTTCTTTGACGTTTACGTTAAACTTTTGTGAAGGTATCGGGAAATGAGATGAATAACTGCGTGGTTTATGTGTACGATTCGGATTTGCGCTTTCTTCTTTGACGTTTACGTTAAACTTTTGTGAAGTTATCGGGAAATGAGATGAATAACTGCGTGGTTTATGTGTACGATTTAGATTTGCGCTTTCTTCTTTGACGTTTACGTTAAACTTTTGTGAAGTTATCGGGAAATGAGATGAATAACTGCGTGGTTTATGTGTACGATTTAGATTTGCGCTTTCTTCTTTGACGTTTACGTTAAACTTTTGTGAAGGTATCGGGAAATGAGATGAATAACTGCGTGGTTTATGTGTACGATTTGGATTTGCGCTTTCTTCTTTGACGTTAACATTAAGCGTTTGAGTAGATATCGGGACATGAGATGAATAATTGTGTGGTTTATGTGTACGATTTAGATTTGCGCTTTCTTCTTTGACGTTTACGTTAAACTTTTGTGAAGTTATCGGGAAATGAGATGAATAACTGCGTGGTTTATGTGTACGATTTAGATTTGCGCTTTCTTCTTTGACGTAAACAGTAAGCGTTTGTGTAGATATCGGGAGATGAGATGGATAATTGTGTGTTTTATGTGTACGATTCGGATTTGCGCTTTCTTCTTTGACGTAAACAGTAAGCGTTTGAGTAGATATCGGGAGATGAGATGGATAATTGTGTGGTTTATGTGTACGATTTAGATTTGCGCTTTCTTCTTTGACGTTAACATTAAGCGTTTGAGTAGATATCGGGAGATGAGATGAATAACTGCGTGGTTTATGTGTACGATTTAGATTTGCGCTTTCTTCTTTGACGTTTACGTTAAACTTTTGTGAAGTTATCGGGAAATGAGATGAATAACTGCGTGGTTTATGTGTACGATTCGGATTTGCGCTTTCTTCTTTGACGTTTACGTTAAACTTTTGTGAAGTTATCGGGAAATGAGATGAATAACTGCGTGGTTTATGTGTACGATTCGGATTTGCGCTTTCTTCTTTGACGTTTACGTTAAACTTTTGTGAAGTTATCGGGAAATGAGATGAATAACTGCGTGGTTTATGTGTACGATTCGGATTTGCGCTTTCTTCTTTGACGTTTACGTTAAACTTTTGTGAAGGTATCGGGAAATGAGATGAATAACTGCGTGGTTTATGTGTACGATTCGGATTTGCGCTTTCTTCTTTGACGTTTACGTTAAACTTTCGTGAAGTTATCGGGAAATGAGATGAATAACTGCGTGGTTTATGTGTACGATTTGGATTTGCGCTTTCTACTTTGACGTTTACGTTAAACTTTTGTGAAGTTATCGGGAAATGAGATGAATAACTGCGTGGTTTATGTGTACGATTTAGATTTGCGCTTTCTTCTTTGACGTTTACGTTAAACTTTCGTGAAGGTATCGGGAAATGAGATGAATAACTGCGTGGTTTATGTGTACGATTTGGATTTGCGCTTTCTTCTTTGACGTTAACATTAAGCGTTTGAGTAGATATCGGGACATGAGATGAATAATTGTGTGGTTTATGTGTACGATTTAGATTTGCGCTTTCTTCTTTGACGTTTACGTTAAACTTTTGTGAAGGTATCGGGAAATGAGATGAATAACTGCGTGGTTTATGTGTACGATTTAGATTTGCGCTTTCTTCTTTGACGTAAACAGTAAGCGTTTGTGTAGATATCGGGAGATGAGATGGATAATTGTGTGTTTTATGTGTACGATTCGGATTTGCGCTTTCTTCTTTGACGTAAACAGTAAGCGTTTGAGTAGATATCGGGAGATGAGATGGATAATTGTGTGGTTTATGTGTACGATTTAGATTTGCGCTTTCTTCTTTGACGTTAACATTAAGCGTTTGAGTAGATATCGGGAGATGAGATGAATAACTGCGTGGTTTATGTGTACGATTTAGATTTGCGCTTTCTTCTTTGACGTTTACGTTAAACTTTTGTGAAGGTATCGGGAAATGAGATGAATAACTGCGTGGTTTATGTGTACGATTTGGATTTGCGCTTTCTTCTTTGACGTTTACGTTAAACTTTTGTGAAGGTATCGGGAAATGAGATGAATAACTGCGTGGTTTATGTGTACGATTTGGATTTGCGCTTTCTTCTTTGACGTTTACGTTAAACTTTTGTGAAGGTATCGGGAAATGAGATGAATAACTGCGTGGTTTATGTGTACGATTCGGATTTGCGCTTTCTTCTTTGACGTTCACGTTAAACTTTTGTGAAGGTATCGGGAAATGAGATGAATAACTGCGTGGTTTATGTGTACGATTTGGATTTGCGCTTTCTTCTTTGACGTTTACGTTAAACTTTTGTGAAGGTATCGGGAAATGAGATGAATAACTGCGTGGTTTATGTGTACGATTTAGATTTGCGCTTTCTTCTTTGACGTTTACGTTAAACTTTTGTGAAGGTATCGGGAAATGAGATGAATAACTGCGTGGTTTATGTGTACGATTTGGATTTGCGCTTTCTTCTTTGACGTTTACGTTAAACTTTTGTGAAGGTATCGGGAAATGAGATGAATAACTGCGTGGTTTATGTGTACGATTCGGATTTGCGCTTTCTTCTTTGACGTTCACGTTAAACTTTTGTGAAGGTATCGGGAAATGAGATGAATAACTGCGTGGTTTATGTGTACGATTTGGATTTGCGCTTTCTTCTTTGACGTTCACTTTAAACTTTTGTGAAGGTATCGGGAGATGAGATGGATAATTGTGTGGTTTATGAGTACGATTTGGATTTGCGCTTTCTTCTTTGACGTTTACGTTAAACTTTTGTGAAGTTATCGGGAAATGAGATGAATAACTGCGTGGTTTATGTGTACGATTCGGATTTGCGCTTTCTTCTTTGACGTTTACGTTAAACTTTTGTGAAGTTATCGGGAAATGAGATGAATAACTGCGTGGTTTATGTGTACGATTCGGATTTGCGCTTTCTTCTTTGACGTTTACGTTAAACTTTTGTGAAGTTATCGGGAAATGAGATGAATAACTGCGTGGTTTATGTGTACGATTCGGATTTGCGCTTTCTTCTTTGACGTTTACGTTAAACTTTTGTGAAGGTATCGGGAAATGAGATGAATAACTGCGTGGTTTATGTGTACGATTCGGATTTGCGCTTTCTTCTTTGACGTTTACGTTAAACTTTTGTGAAGTTATCGGGAAATGAGATGAATAACTGCGTGGTTTATGTGTACGATTTGGATTTGCGCTTTCTACTTTGACGTTTACGTTAAACTTTTGTGAAGTTATCGGGAAATGAGATGAATAACTGCGTGGTTTATGTGTACGATTTAGATTTGCGCTTTCTTCTTTGACGTTTACGTTAAACTTTTGTGAAGGTATCGGGAAATGAGATGAATAACTGCGTGGTTTATGTGTACGATTTGGATTTGCGCTTTCTTCTTTGACGTTAACATTAAGCGTTTGAGTAGATATCGGGACATGAGATGAATAATTGTGTGGTTTATGTGTACGATTTAGATTTGCGCTTTCTTCTTTGACGTTTACGTTAAACTTTTGTGAAGGTATCGGGAAATGAGATGAATAACTGCGTGGTTTATGTGTACGATTTAGATTTGCGCTTTCTTCTTTGACGTAAACAGTAAGCGTTTGTGTAGATATCGGGAGATGAGATGGATAATTGTGTGTTTTATGTGTACGATTCGGATTTGCGCTTTCTTCTTTGACGTAAACAGTAAGCGTTTGAGTAGATATCGGGAGATGAGATGGATAATTGTGTGGTTTATGTGTACGATTTAGATTTGCGCTTTCTTCTTTGACGTTAACATTAAGCGTTTGAGTAGATATCGGGAGATGAGATGAATAACTGCGTGGTTTATGTGTACGATTTAGATTTGCGCTTTCTTCTTTGACGTTTACGTTAAACTTTTGTGAAGGTATCGGGAAATGAGATGAATAACTGCGTGGTTTATGTGTACGATTTGGATTTGCGCTTTCTTCTTTGACGTTTACGTTAAACTTTTGTGAAGGTATCGGGAAATGAGATGAATAACTGCGTGGTTTATGTGTACGATTTGGATTTGCGCTTTCTTCTTTGACGTTTACGTTAAACTTTTGTGAAGGTATCGGGAAATGAGATGAATAACTGCGTGGTTTATGTGTACGATTCGGATTTGCGCTTTCTTCTTTGACGTTCACGTTAAACTTTTGTGAAGGTATCGGGAAATGAGATGAATAACTGCGTGGTTTATGTGTACGATTTGGATTTGCGCTTTCTTCTTTGACGTTTACGTTAAACTTTTGTGAAGGTATCGGGAAATGAGATGAATAACTGCGTGGTTTATGTGTACGATTTAGATTTGCGCTTTCTTCTTTGACGTTTACGTTAAACTTTTGTGAAGGTATCGGGAAATGAGATGAATAACTGCGTGGTTTATGTGTACGATTTGGATTTGCGCTTTCTTCTTTGACGTTTACGTTAAACTTTTGTGAAGGTATCGGGAAATGAGATGAATAACTGCGTGGTTTATGTGTACGATTCGGATTTGCGCTTTCTTCTTTGACGTTCACGTTAAACTTTTGTGAAGGTATCGGGAAATGAGATGAATAACTGCGTGGTTTATGTGTACGATTTGGATTTGCGCTTTCTTCTTTGACGTTCACTTTAAACTTTTGTGAAGGTATCGGGAAATGAGATGGATAATTGTGTGGTTTATGAGTACGATTTGGATTTGCGCTTTCTTCTTTGACGTTTACGTTAAACTTTTGTGAAGTTATCGGGAAATGAGATGAATAACTGCGTGGTTTATGTGTACGATTCGGATTTGCGCTTTCTTCTTTGACGCTAACATTAAGCGTTTGAGTAGGTATCGGGAGATGAGATGGATAATTGTGTGGTTTATGTGTACGATTTAGATTTGCGCTTTCTTCTTTGACGTTTACGTTAAACTTTTGTGAAGGTATCGGGAAATGAGATGAATAACTGCGTGGTTTATGTGTACGATTCGGATTTGCGCTTTCTTCTTTGACGTTCACGTTAAACTTTTGTGAAGGTATCGGGAAATGAGATGAATAACTGCGTGGTTTATGTGTACGATTTGGATTTGCGCTTTCTTCTTTGACGTTTACGTTAAACTTTTGTGAAGGTATCGGGAAATGAGATGAATAACTGCGTGGTTTATGTGTACGATTTAGATTTGCGCTTTCTTCTTTGACGTTTACGTTAAACTTTTGTGAAGGTATCGGGAAATGAGATGAATAACTGCGTGGTTTATGTGTACGATTTGGATTTGCGCTTTCTTCTTTGACGTTTACGTTAAACTTTTGTGAAGGTATCGGGAAATGAGATGAATAACTGCGTGGTTTATGTGTACGATTTAGATTTGCGCTTTCTTCTTTGACGTTCACGTTAAACTTTTGTGAAGGTATCGGGAAATGAGATGAATAACTGCGTGGTTTATGTGTACGATTTGGATTTGCGCTTTCTTCTTTGACGTTCACTTTAAACTTTTGTGAAGGTATCGGGAAATGAGATGGATAATTGTGTGGTTTATGAGTACGATTTGGATTTGCGCTTTCTTCTTTGACGTTTACGTTAAACTTTTGTGCAGTTATCGGGAAATGAGATGAATAACTGCGTGGTTTATGTGTACGATTCGGATTTGCGCTTTCTTCTTTGACGCTAACATTAAGCGTTTGAGTAGGTATCGGGAGATGAGATGGATAATTGTGTGGTTTATGTGTACGATTTAGATTTGCGCTTTCTTCTTTGACGTTTACGTTAAACTTTTGTGAAGGTATCGGGAAATGAGATGAATAACTGCGTGGTTTATGTGTACGATTTAGATTTGCGCTTTCTTCTTTGACGTTTACGTTAAACTTTTGTGAAGGTATCGGGAAATGAGATGAATAACTGCGTGGTTTATGTGTACGATTTGGATTTGCGCTTTCTTCTTTGACGTTTACGTTAAACTTTTGTGAAGGTATCGGGAAATGAGATGAATAACTGCGTGGTTTATGTGTACGATTCGGATTTGCGCTTTCTTCTTTGACGTTCACGTTAAACTTTTGTGAAGGTATCGGGAAATGAGATGAATAACTGCGTGGTTTATGTGTACGATTTGGATTTGCGCTTTCTTCTTTGACGTTCACTTTAAACTTTTGTGAAGGTATCGGGAAATGAGATGGATAATTGTGTGGTTTATGAGTACGATTTGGATTTGCGCTTTCTTCTTTGACGTTTACGTTAAACTTTTGTGAAGTTATCGGGAAATGAGATGAATAACTGCGTGGTTTATGTGTACGATTCGGATTTGCGCTTTCTTCTTTGACGCTAACATTAAGCGTTTGAGTAGGTATCGGGAGATGAGATGGATAATTGTGTGGTTTATGTGTACGATTCGGATTTGCGCTTTCTTCTTTGACGTTTACGTTAAACTTTTGTGAAGGTATCGGGAAATGAGATGAATAACTGCGTGGTTTATGTGTACGATTTGGATTTGCGCTTTCTTCTTTGACGTTTACGTTAAACTTTTGTGAAGTTATCGGGAAATGAGATGAATAACTGCGTGGTTTATGTGTACGATTCGGATTTGCGCTTTCTTCTTTGACGTTTACGTTAAACTTTTGTGAAGTTATCGGGAAATGAGATGAATAACTGCGTGGTTTATGTGTACGATTTGGATTTGCGCTTTCTTCTTTGACGTTTACGTTAAACTTTTGTGAAGTTATCGGGAAATGAGATGAATAACTGCGTGGTTTATGTGTACGATTCGGATTTGCGCTTTCTTCTTTGACGTTTACGTTAAACTTTTGTGAAGGTATCGGGAAATGAGATGAATAACTGCGTGGTTTATGTGTACGATTTGGATTTGCGCTTTCTTCTTTGACGTTTACGTTAAACTTTTGTGAAGGTATCGGGAAATGAGATGAATAACTGCGTGGTTTATGTGTACGATTTGGATTTGCGCTTTCTTCTTTGACGTTTACGTTAAACTTTTGTGAAGGTATCGGGAAATGAGATGAATAACTGCGTGGTTTATGTGTACGATTTGGATTTGCGCTTTCTTCTTTGACGTTAACATTAAGCGTTTGAGTAGATATCGGGAGATGGGATGGATAACTGCGTTGTTCACGCGTACGACTTAGATTCCATTTCACATTTGTGTTATTCTATAAAAACATTTAAGAGAAACCTAGAGTTCAATTTCGACCAATGTTCACCTAAAAGATATATCAATATAGACTAAATTTATCCATTATTACAGAACACGTCACATAAAAATATAATCGAATTCTAGATCAATGAAACAGTTGACACTAAGACAGAATTCGAAAAAACGCGTCACATGAAAATAGGTGATGAATATGTTATCTGGGAAGGCAATTAAACCTTCATACTTTAATCATCTGGTTTAGAGAACACAACCATATCAGAAATATCCACCTAAGATATAGAACTTCACCAATACCTGATTTTCTATAGTGGATTTGTCACACAGACAATTATTCTCAGGGTGATGACTAGTGGAACAAGATTGGTATTTCTGGTAACAAAAAATGTTGCTAATGTAACAATAAGTATAATAGAAGTTAAAAGAGAGGGAACACAAGAAGACATATGCCAAACACACACACAACTCAACCCTCAAGATTCTGCAAAGTAGGAGAAACATTGTCATACTGCTAGCTGACAAAGGAAGAACTATAGTGGTCATGGATAGGAGAGAATACATCAAGTAATCTGAAGAGCTACTCAACGGTGATGATGTCTACTAACAGCTCACAATAAAACCCATCCAAACATAAGACAACCGCATCCATAGAAGCTTAGACAAGCTGAGCAAACCAAGTCATTTCACAAAAGAAAATCAGTGACGAATGGAATCCAGTGGACCATTTTTACTTGGATTCTACGACAGACGTGAAATACACAAACCAAACTTCCCATTACAACCAACCGTATCACTTCCGGGAACCCCAACATACGATTTATCCAAAGAACTACACGAAAAACTAAATCGCCTAAGGGAAACTTGCCATCACTCTATCAAATCTGCAATCAACTTTCTAGAGAAAATCACAGGCATTCAAATACATGACCATTAAATAATGGTATCCGCCGATGTTACAGCATGATATACCTCAAAATGGACAGAAACTAGCAAACGAAAACATGGGGCAATTACTGAACAATGATAAATAGCTTCCACAACATTAAAAAATGCAAGACACAAGTTGAATGGAATGTATTAACATAAGTGTGATGACGTAATACCAATTCAATGGTCACATTTATGAACAAATTAAAAAAACACCCATGGAATCGCCCCTGTCAACACATCTCTTGTCCCCTATCGTTTCAAACAAAATTCACAATCATATCAATTATAATCATATGACATGGAAACTTGAGTTTTATAGTTTTCTTTATTCTCTCCTACTTGCCGTAAGGGGTAGTAGAATTTTCCAGAATTCTTGGACAGAAGAAAATATACAAACAAACTGCAGAAATTGCCATGGGGTCACCAAAATCCCTAGTTGTAGCAAATATATTCATGGATAGGTGGGAAAACATAGCGACTGAGAAGTTCAGCCCTACCCTAGTAATATGGTGGAGGTACGTAGATGACACAGTCACCGTACTCAGAACACAGGATATGGGTAGATTTTTCGAACACATTAACTCAAAGGTGAAGGCGAACCAATTCACCCATAAATCTAGATTCTAATCAGGGAGCTTGCAATGTTAGATTTTCAGCGTAAAAAAGGTAGGAAGATGAGAAGTTTTACACACTATTGTATTTACAGGAATCCCACACATTCAAACCGATATTTGCACTTCCAATCGTCCCATGTTATGTCAGTCAAAATAAGACTAATGAAATGTTTAAGTAATAAAGCACAGAAACTAAATAGAGTACCAGGGAAAATCTATTACGGGAAGTGAAGCATATAAGAGAAGCTTTGAAACTTAATAATTAACCTAATAAATTAGTCAGATAGTATGTAGAGAAATGTAAAAATAAAATAAAAATAAATAATGATAGTAGTGATAGTAATAATAAAATATTATCATTATAGTGTGGTGAGACCTGGCTGTTAGCCAAACTGGTAGACAGTAATTTACGTCAATGTTTACGTCCTCAATATTAGTCGTGAGAAAATTAAGAACAAAGACTGATTCAACAACCAATCACAGCCGACTTTGTTTATGTAGGCGGATACAATTAGCAGATAGATAATCTGAACTTCAATAAACGGCCACAAAGAGATGATTGGTTAACGATCAGAAGACTGTGTTTGTTTACTTGCAACAATCTATAATAATGCACATGAAAATCTGTAAATATGTGTTGATTTCGTAAATAAACGATCTGTTGCCTGGCCCTTGTCTTCTGTTGTTCCGATAGTAATATTAATGAGGGCATGCCTGTTAAACACGCTCAAGATAATGACAACACGAACGATAAGGAATCTAAATCATCAGTAGTAATTCCATACAACGAAGGAACCTCGGAAGCCGCATTACGCTGAATTCTTAACAAGGTGGGTAGAAATAAAAGCGGCTGGAATTCAAACCACCCATAAACTCAATCAGAAACAATCCGGTGGAGCCTTTAAACAAAACAATTAAGTTTGTCGAATACCGCGTCCGTGATGACTGTCAGATCAAATACATATGTCAGAGGAGCAGAACGGGGTCAGTCAGTCAGTCAGACTAGCCGAGCATAAAAACCTAGCCGAAAATCAAGATCAGTTGACTCGAATGAGATAATAAGAGATGTGGAGAATAGCTCAGCTACACCACTCACTACATGCAGTTACACACACACACAAGCATACAATAGGATGGATAGGATAAGATGACAGTTTTCAAATTTAATGTAACAGCTGGATGGAGGGTGAGACTGACAACAGACTGAGGCTTTATTTATCAAATCAACTGAAAGAGAATACGTGTAATATGAATGATTCAACACCTTTCCAGTTGAATATTTGGAGAATTCTACTCACCCCCCCTATGACGACAAATAGGAGAGGATAAAGAAAATTATAAAACTCAAGTTTCGAAATTGCGTGATTATAATTGATGAAATGATTATGAACAATAATAGATTGTATTTGAACTGTTGTCATCCATTAAATAAAACTGTTTCACGCTGTGTGTGATACATCTAATAAACAAACTAATATGGAATTACTTACTAGCACAGTGGCTAAGACTTACATATATGCTATTCAGGTCCCACCTGAATGAAAAACTATCCAAGTTCTCTTCTGAGTATTTTTTTAACAATAGGTTCTTGACTGATTCTCTGCGATAGCACCCATATCGCTTATTTAATCCAGCTGGATAACTCATATTTTTGCAGTCAAATAAAATCAGGTATTGACCGAAGTCTACAGTTGATGCTTTACTTTAAACCATACCTTACCAACTGTTTATCATTGCTGGTTCACAGTGTATTCTTCACAGAACGTGTTATGTAGATGATTAAACTTTTAAATTTATATATGTATTCAGTAAACGGTTGAGAAATTTCAAGAAGTACTTCTTGTTGAAAATTATTCTGATAGTCATCGGTGACCGACTACAAAACGCAATCGTCTACAATCTTAGGGTGAATTTGTGATATTTAGTGCAGTTCACCAGCTCGGACATGTGGAGAGATACTCGACGAAGACATTGGCTAGTAATGCAGCTAATAATTACTAACTGACAGAAGATAGAATTTTCGTGTTAACAGATCGAGTCCCAATGCCTGAAAGAAAATCGAGATTACCTCATAATCTGAAGGTTCTGGGTTATAATTATGACTGCGAACTGCTTGGAAAGCCCCTCGAATTAAAATGACAGAATGGTGCAGCACTCTCTGGCTCTCAACGCTTCTCTAGGTAGTATATATGCATGATCAAATTTTAAAAACTATTCAAATCAAGCTTACGAAAGCTGGGAAAGCAGCTGAACTAGATGAAATACACCCTGAAGCACTGAAAGAGGACCCAGAGACTACAGCAGACATGCTGACTCCATTATTGCAAGAGGTCTGGAAGGAGGGAAAGGTGCCTACTAACTGGAGGAAAGATTACCTAGTGAAACTAACAAAAAAGGGCGAATTAGGCCACACTCTGTAAGAAATGGTGAGGAATCATGCTCCTGTGAACGCCAAGTAAAATCCTGAGTCGTATCATCCTGGAGGGATTAAAGGACGCACTGGAGACAGAACTCCGACCAGAACAAGCTGGATTCAGGAAAGTCAGGCAAATCATGTTCTGACCGAATTGCATCTCTTCGCATCATCATCACAGAACAAAGCATAGAATGGCAATCAAACCTCTACCTCAACATTATAGATTTTGAAAAGGCCTTCGACAGCGTTGATCGTGAAGCAATTGGGAAACTACTCGAGTACTACGGCGTACCTCAAATATTCACCAACCTTATTCAACAGCTGGTTGTGTGACAACGACACATGTCAAGTGATCCACAATGGAAAAGTCAGTGAGGCGTCTGGAGTAAACACAGGAGTCAGACAAGGGTGCTTATTATCACACACGATGATATTCCTAATTGTCGTGGACTGACTGGATTATGCGTCAGAGAGCGAGTGGGAAACGAGAAGACAGGGATAGATATCCTGGACCGACCGATGTGAAGAACCTAGAAGACCTGGATTTCGCGCGTGGATGATTGGTGATGTTTGATGTAACACAAAATCGAAGACTTGGAGGCAAGCGAAAACCAACAAACTGGTCGAAGAAGTGGCCAGTGAAGACAGGACTCCAGGTGAACACAGACAAGACGAAGGTTATGAAAATAACCAACGAACCAACAAACAACAAAACAGAAACATCCAGCGCGAATCACCATCAACGGGAGGGATTTGAAAGAGGTTACTTCATTCGTACACTTATCTAGCGACCATTGTCTCAACTACAGGCAGTCGGAACGGACGAGGATGTCAAATCGAGCGAGAATCGGGAAGGCGAGAAACACATTCATCAACCTGAAATCAATCTGGAAGTCTCCGTCACTCAGCCAGAATCAACAACAAAATTCGGATTTTCAATACAAACATAAAGACAGTCAGCTCTTCTACACAGATGAGAAACTTGGCGGGTGGGTCACAAAAAATATTTCCAACAGGCTATTGCAGACCTTTATTAAC